ACGGGTATCGAAACCCGGTTTCTAGCGTTGTAAGTCCGCAGACATACCGCTGTGCCACTGGGGGGCAAAATTTGTATTTACCAAAGACATCACCATAGGTTAGTTTTCTACGCTCTTTTGGTTTAAAGTTGAACAGTGGGGCAGAAATTACTATAATTTAGATTGATTGAAAATGATATACGTTTTAACTTAAATTTAAGTTAATATTCTTCCAAACAGAAAAATGTATGTAGCATACGATAAGATAATGTGTTCTGTTAAAAATTAAGCCGAAAATATATCAAGCTTATCTGTTGCGGTGTAACAACAGATAATGATATTGATAATAGTAATACTATAAATACAATGTGCACGATTAAAAACGCGTTTTTTGTACCATGTCATAATAAAAGATCCGGTATGAAGTGGAGCACATCATACAAAACCTGCATAACAGGAAGTGTGTAGGGTGGATTGAGAATAGATTATAGAGAGTCTACATATTACAAACAAGATTAAAATTGTTACCTGAGGGAAATAGCTCTCTCCGATGGATCACCAGCATTGTAGTTAGCTATCAGTCTTGTCACTACTTTGAAGAAACGCGTAAGTTTTCCTGAATGTCAGCGACCTCTTTGTTTTTTGTTATGGTTTTAATGTAAGTGATTTTTTTCCCTTTCTGATGCAACAGTTGTTTTCTTTTAGGGTTGAAAATAATAAAAACAGATCGTTCTGTTTTATTCTGTTTACAGCTTGTAAATTAAAGAATGAGCTTTAATAAGCATTAGAGTAAAAGCTAAAGAAGAATGTTATAATATGTCAACCACACTATATCTTATGTTACCAGTCCCGGCGAAACATGTCGAGCAATACCAAGGCCCATCAGGCCAGCTGGGGTACGACAACCATAGTATTATTATTAATGGTCGACATGCTTTTTCTATCATCAGTTGCTTGAACGACGTATTCGGTGTAAACTAGATTAATTTGATGAGCTTTAATTTTTATCGTTTGAAACGTATTATTACTTTTTTTTAAATTGGTGTTTCCACCATATCTTAAGTAACACAAAACATAACAGTATTAATTTTGAATACCTCGTGATCAAAACTAAGTTAAGTATTAAGATCAGAAGTAAAATACTTGTAAAAAAAAACTAAAAATTTAATGAAGATATTCCCGTACATTAAACTGACTAGAAAGATTTAATGTTATAAATCAGCAGAAAAGAAAACTGAAACTTATAAATGTTAAATTAATATAATTATCAGTTGAGTCTTTTAGTTTTACTATTACCAATATTTTCGGCCAGAAAACAATAAAGATCTATAAAAATAAAGTTAGAAAAAAGTACCTTTACTCTCCAGATAATAATAAAACGCCCAAATCCCTCAAGTATGTTCTACAATTTTTTAAAATCAACAAGATGTATAAGAATAATTATACGTACATTTAATAAACCTGCTATAAGATCTAATTTAAGTACATTTTACCTGATCATTAATTGGGTAAGAGATCTAAGAAACGCTTAAAAGAGTTCTGAGGCAGTTAAAATGTAAGTTTTATTCCAAACAAAACAATGTTGTTTTTGTAGGCCTACAGAAAATTTCAAATTATTTTCGATTTTTTTGTAGTTTTTTGAATAAATATTAATGAATAATACCACTGTTACAGTGATACTGGCTTCTGAGTATAAACAACAGCTGGAGAGCTCTACTAATTGCAAAACAAACCCTGACTTTTTGTTGTTGTTTTTTACCGAAAGTAGACATTTTCCGAAGGGATAAGTATGTGTAACAAGAAAAAATACGAATTTCAAGGTAAAAAGATAAGTAAAAATAGAAAATCGTTTAATTTTTAATATAACTCTCGATTTCTGAGCTGGCGATCCGGGTTTGTATCCATCAGATATCACAAAATATTCCCTGCATCTTAAGCTGTGGGTGTTATAAGTCTGACGTGCTGCTGACTGGCTACCTTCCCTATGGGCAGTAGTTCAAAATTAGGGGAAGCGACAGACAGCTTTAGTAGCTTTGCCACAAACACAAAAAGTACAAGTACTCAATTTTTTGTAGCTCCAATGTTTCTTTGTGATGAACATTAACATCTCAGAGATAAACATTCTAAATTTATTTATATCCAGTAATTCAAAGTAATTATAGCAAACAAATATGAAAATACAACAATATATTATAATCATTTTATTATAAAATTTAACCCAAGTGTATTCAAGTTAAACTATTAACTGTTTTATTGTGGACTGTTTGAAGTTCGCATTATACACAAGAAATTCTACCATTTTGATATTGTTACGACAGCGGAGGTCACGTGACTCTAGTAACACGCCACGCGCTTCCAGAACGTTCATGAAGCGTCGGGAGACTACTAGACATGGGGTAGTCTTGTATATATATAAGACCGGCCAACAAGCGACGGGAACAATGTGTAATTGAACTGCGCACAGATTATTGTTGAGTTGACCACGTGAGACGCTCGTTGTGAATTATATCGTTTGTTATAGCGCGACTGTGGAAATTAAGTGTATCGCAAAGTTGTATTCAGAAAGAATAAACCAGTTTTATTTAAGAAAGGACTTGTGTCGCTAAAGTTTCGTCGGAACGAAATTTACAGAAAATTAACTAACGAAGGGAGACTTAACAATATAATATTATAGTATACTACATTATGTTACGTCAAAATTTTATTTTAAGAAATAAATTAGTACTTGTAGTAATATGTAATTGGCTTTTAATTTGATTCTTTTTAGATAGACAGATTAAACATGTAATAAAACAATATAAATAGTCTACTGAACAAATTCAGAAAACTAGATTGAAAATTTGTTGTACTCATCTTAAAAACTGCAACAGAGTTGTGCACCAAGATTCTATTTCTTTGGGTATTAATTAGAAGGATATTGTTGTTTCCCAGACAATTAACCGTCATTTTAAACTTATTTGTCTGATTGTTTCAGTCTAGCTGATGTAGAGATAAACCTTTCTAGTGCTGGTCGGTACCAGCTTTCTCCAAGGTTAACAGTAACCTCTTATCCCATTGCATCTTATTTTGAAATCTAAGGCTGACTCTGTCACGGTTGGCAGGTTTTTACATATTGTATTTGAATTCAAGACAACTAGACACCGGATATTTAGACACCTAAAAAAATGACGAAGTCGAACCTTTAGACACCACTTGTAAGTTGTATATATCTAGGCCTACTACATTACCAATTTAACTTAGTCCATTGAATGAACTGTATAGATCTAAGCCTATTTTATTAACATTTTAAATCTATTTCATTATTTGACCCACATAGATCTAGGTTTATTATATTACCAGTTTAATTTACTCCATTATATGACCTGCATGTTAACCGGACAACTAGACACCATGCAACTACTAGTTGAACTAGGCAAATATGTTGCGAAGTTTTAACACCCCTCTATAATTATTAGGTGTCTAAATGTCCTACTTCGTCATTTGTTTAGGTGTCTAATTGTCCGGTTACCATTATATTTACCGTATTTTTCGGAATATAAGACGCACCCTTAATTTGAAAACAAAATTTTGGGGGGAAACAAAGCTACAGTCGCATTTGAAAGATTTTTATTGAACAAAAATTCAATTTGATACTTTAAAAATTTGTACATATGTTGTTCTAAACATAAAAGATCTCATTTGAATCCAAGGCAAGCACTCAAAAATGATTTTTTATTTGTTAAAGTTAGGCCTGAAACTGCTTTCTTCTGCTCCACATTAAACAGGGATCGTCGTGTACTCATAAGTTTTTTTCACTCTCATCCATTACTATAATTTATTTTTTTATTATTTAGGGAGCATTATAAATAGTTATGTTTTTAAAAGAAAGAAAAACTACTATTGTTATAAATAACACATTCAATTGAACTAAACCATGCATGCCTATTTCAATATATTTACACACGGCTTGTGTATACCGTATATATACATATATATATTAATGGTCTGATGATGACAAAACATTGTCGAAACGTTGTACATTTGCTGTTATGTTAAACTTCCATTAAAGTTTTTCTTCATTACCCATTCAAGCCGTCTCCAACCATTATTAGTCTCAAAGTAGGTCATTGTCATCGAATACATATATATTATTCATACCTTCGGTGTATAGGACGCAAGCTCTGACATCAAATTTTGGGGTAAAAAAAGTGCGTCTTATACACCGAAAAATACGGTATATTGCAAATGATTTACGTGCTACTTTACAACAATATTATGCACTGACTCGAGTTTCTTGTTTTTAATTACGCTATTCACTTCACATTAAGATCATATGTTATCAGCCGGTCATCCACAAAGATTTTTGAAAAGGCTCTTGAGAACACAGTAATTTGTTATATATAACTTAAAATATGTGATCTAATCTTTTGAGTTTGCACGATATCTATACTGACTTACCCTCCCAAACATTTGGAGTTTGCTACTGGGTTAGGTCGAGGTCAGTGAGGACTTCCCTTTTGCCGAAAGGGTTCGCAATGCTCAGAATCATTGCTTTAAAGAAATGTTGGTTGAAACAATGCAATGTACATGAAAATTTTGCGAAGCATAAAATTTCCAGTAATAAGACATAGGATATTCCATTTATAAAAATTACTAAAAACGGCAGAGAAGTATAACACATTATAATATAGCGAAACTTTCTGCTTCATTTTATCTGGCACATAGCTGTTTTAAATTAATTTGATACATAGTGTATATGTAGAATGATGTTAAATCTATATATAAAATTTCCTAAACAAATACTGTAGCATAATGAAATGTTTCACATTAAAACTTATAAAAGAAACGTTTATAAATTGCGTGTCTTGTACAAATAATAGTTGCATATATTGTAAAATAAACCATTGTCTATAAATGTTGATTTAATACACACGATATATGCATATATAAGTTGATCGCTCATATATTTTGCATTTGTGGAGGATGTTTCGTCATTTTACGTCATCGTCTGCACCGTAGCCATTTTTCTGTGAAGTAGTAATAGTGTTTGTTTCACGTACAGTGTGTGGGTTGTTCGTGTTGTAATATAAGCGTTATCACAGTTTTCTCTTGAGGCGTCAATTACATGAGCTCTTTGCTTCAAATTCAATGGTTATCATCACAGAAGTATGTCATTTATGTTTTATTTATATTATAACTAGATTTTTAAGAACTAATTAAAGTTCAAATGCCACGCGTTATCACAAGTTTTAACTTAAAAAGTTAAAATTAGCAGATGCGTTTTGCACTGCCTGATTTCAAAATACCAGTTAGAATTTGCTTTGGTGAGTCAATCGAGTGATGATATGAAACGTAAGTTATGTTACGATAGACTATTTTATAGCAAACGGAAGCTCACAGAATGGTTGAAATTAAAACATGTGTAATTATAAAATTGCTTATTTTAATTTTTGCTTGAAACTGAAAATTGACGCGTCTTTTATTTTATGACTTTCAACTTCAAAGTTCAAGTACGTATGTTATTGGCAACGTTGTGTCTGATAAAGCATTTCACAAGACGAAAACATGTTGCCTACTTTTGTGTTTTCTAATACTGCTTACTAGAAACTTCTTTCACAGGACCAGTTTCATTAGGGGAGGAAGGGAGGGCATTGTAAATAAAATTAAAATGATGAAAATGTATTCATCTTAACAGTCAAAACTAAATTTTAAAGCATAACCACTCAGATGCAAGTTTCCAATGGCCAATCATTGATATTTTATTTCTTTACCTATTTTTATTTCTCTATGTGCTAAAATTTGGTTTACACCCAACTAGGTTCTTAAGTTTAGACTTAGTAACCTAATCAGTAATGAGAAGAAATAAAGATAAATGTATTTTCAAATTTAGATGGTGTACCTTATTTTAAGTATTTGGAATTGATACTGTTCTTTAGGCTTTACTGCATCAGAGACTAAGAGTAATAGTGCATTTATTTATTGAGCATTAGTAACTGAAACCCACAAGTTTAGAAACAAGCCTCAAGGTTACCTTGTGTTTATTTTTAGCTTATACTAGGTTAAAGATGAGAACATACTTAAAAGTTAAATGATAAACTTCTCTGCACAGATCACTTTAGCAAATTCAGTAACTTTGATCTTTAACCATTGAAAGTTGAATATTTGTCCACTGGGTTTTAGTGACCTGCAGTAAAAGTAGCTCAATCTTAAAACAATTAATGCACGTTTAACTCAAAAAGAAAATACGTAGATATGCTATTGGCTTTTCTTTGGTAACACTTAACAAGTATTTATAGTTGAAGCTAGGAGAAATAAATATGTTGTCATATCATGACAAAATACCTTATAATAACTGTTTTACACCACACACACACACACTCACACACACACTCTCAGTACATAGAGATGTTTGAGTCATGGAATCAGAATTTAAATAGGGATATCAAAATTTGTTTGATGGGTGATTTCCCGACTTTTAATTAGTCTTTCACTCCAAAACTATTTGTGCTAGAGATATGTTAAGTGTTCTTTTATCGTCAAGTATATGAGAGTTTGAAAGACATTTGATAAAATAACTAGAAAACAAAAGTTGAGTTATCTCTTGATATTAACAAAGTGAAATTCCAAAAAGGAAAAACTGAAAAATGTGTGAAGTTTTTTTTTTTCTCTGCTTTTCATCTATAAAGTGATGGAAAGGTAGTGTTTGTAACTTGCTATGTTAAAAAATTAAACCTTACCTTATCCATTCCATAACGGAGAACATGTAAATAGCTGGAATATATATTTTTGTAGATTCGGATGACATGACCATAACAATATCATGCAGTAGTAGTAGCTCATTTCCTTCCTTCGGAAAACTACACTTATGATCGCGACTATTCTGAAGTTATGACAATATCCTAGACTTTTTTTTTTTAATTTTTACCCAGAACTTGTAGTTTTCTTGCAGAGGGTGGAGTGAGACATGAACATTGGATTTTGCAGAGAATTTTCTCGGTGAGTATCCAGCATTTGACATCTTTCAGTGGTCAGTGGCACTGTCATTAAAGCTGAGGAATTCGCTGATTGATTAATCATTGGACTTTAATCAGTACATTGAACTAATCGATTATTTTTACAAGGTGGCTAATAAAATAAAAAAAACATCAAATATTTTCTCGAGTTAACAAAAACATTATAATGATACAAACTGGGCTACAGCCCGATATTCCAAAGAGTCAATATTTTAAAAATTGAATGTAAAAGTAATTACACGTGTAGGCCTAATATTCATTTAGGTAGTTATGTTACGTAAACAGTAGTAGGGATATAAGCCGATAATATTTTGAGGTATATTTGGGATCATTCCAGAAACCTTATAATATTGTTACCCATAATAAAAGCTTTCTAATCTTTTGAGAAATTTTTAAAATTCTCAAAATATTAATAATAATGATGATATTATTATTAGAGAAACAGGATGAAAACTTTAAAACAATAATAACAATAAAGCAAAAACATTAATAGTAGTGATGGAAATTTTTTGGAATATTGATCTATCCCTACAAATTGGGTTTCGATACCTACAGTAGGCAGACCACAGATAGCCTATTGTGTTGCTTTGTGCTTAACAACATCCTTTCTCGTCACTTCTTCATACATTTTCAGTTCTTTAATTTTTATTTGATGTTATTGGCTTCCAGCAAGGCTTATAGTAAAGGAATTTTAGTGGTGAGACATCAAATTGTTCACCAGGTTATGATCCAGTGAGAAGACACCAGGAACAAACCACAAATACAGAAACACATCAAATTGTTCACCAGGTTATGATCCAGTGAGAAGAAACCAGGAACAAACCACAAATACAGAAACACATCAAATTGTTCACCAGGTTATGATCCAGTGAGAAGACACCAGGAACAAACCACAAATACAGAAACACATCAAATTGTTATCCAGTGAGAAGAAACCAGGAACAAACCACAAATACAGAAACACATCAAAT